GGACGGCTGCGTTGGGGTTGGAGCCGGTAACGTAGGTTGGGTTGTTCGCGATTGTCGCCTCGTGGCCGCTTGGTGTACCGTTCCAGTCGAATGATTTGAGGCAGCACGGTTCGAAACCCCTTGGTGATGTCATGGTGTATGCTAGTTGTGTATTGAACGCTGACGGAGAAGAGGGGAAACGTGTGACGAGACTGAAGTTGCTTGACTTGGCGGGCTAGAGTTGATTCGCCCATGATGTCTACTCTTATATTCTGTCCATGCCTAAGGCGTCCCGTCAAACTGAGACTTCCTGGGCACGTCAACCTCTGAAAACGATGAACACCCTGGAACCTACGTTGACGTAAGGTTACCCACTTTGTATGTTTCTATCTCAATGTAGTCTACAGACCTGTTCGGCTTTACCTTATACGAGGTGTGGGTATGCATTTCCAACGTCAACATCGCCATGATGATGGACTTATCGCCAGGATGAGGACGGAGTTATCGCTGGCTGGGCGCGAATCAACCTCGGTGGTATTCCGGAGCGGAAGGTGATCTCGCTGCGATGCCGATACCGTGAAAACGGACGAACATCAAGGCGCGCGAAGATCCGTTTGATTAGTAAACGAGGTTATGGGAGCTCGCGGCGTTCGGAGTTAAGCATGCGATTTACGGACGATGAATTGAACGGCAGTGACTATTCTCGTTGCTGTACGAGTACAGATGCATGCTATATCGAAAATGGATCGCGGGGGTCGTTTGCGTACATCGACGCAGAGAATCGTACATCATACACATGTAGAAGAGTAAAGAAAACGCCTGTTGAAAGGCCTATGCGTCTAGTGATGCAACACAATAGCCCGCCCACCTAATGGAAGTGATGAACTTCTCATCCAAACGCCGGTCCCATATAACGCCAATGCAGAAAGTCGTGCAACGATAGCACATGATGCGACGAGTAAGGCCGCCTGGCACCCCAACTATGCGCCGAAGCATCTCTGATCCAATATCATGTCTACCGCCTGTTGATGAGATTCAGGAATTCCTGGCGCGTCTTGTCCCTTGATCGCATACATCCGAGCATGCAGCTTGTAGTTGTTGTAGCACCTGTCTTCTGCACGCCGCGCATGACCATGCACAAGTGACTTGATTCGACCACTACGGCGACACCTTGTGGTTGAAGCATCTCGGAAAGGGCGAGCGCCACTTGTTTGGTGAGACGTTCTTGGACCTGTAAGCGACGAGCAAACATCTCAGCGATGCGAGCCAGTTTGGAGAGGCCGATGACGCGACGGTTCGGAATGTAGCCGATATGCATCTACAGAGAGGTCAGTAAACATTCCTTAGGACAGATACAACAGGACAAAGGACTTACCTTGCCCATAAAGGGGACCAGATGGTGCTCGCAGAGGGAGAAGATCTCGATATCTCTCACAATGACGAGCTCATCGTGGTCCTCGTGGAAGACAGCACCGTTGACGATGTCGCGCAAGTTCTCTTCATAGCCCTTGGTGAAGAAGAGTAAGGCCTTAGCATAGCGCTCGGGTGTGTCCAACAGTCCCTCGCGGTCTGGGTCTTCGCCCAGACACTCAAGCATCGTTCGGACAGCACCAGACAGCTTCTTCAGATTGGCTTCCTTCTCCTCCTCGGTCGCCTCCTTCCTCTCCCGCGTGCCCTTGCTGGGCCAGCTAAGCCCATCGAAGTCGATGGTGGGATGCTGTGTGTATGGGCTATGGGCGCGACTGGTCGCAAGTGGTGTTTGGGCAACGGCGCCCTCGTAAGGGTCTTCGGCGTCTACCTGGCCGTTCGCCATGACATGTCGGTTGTCAGTGTGCATGTTCGCGACCGAAGCCTTCGTGGGGAAATAGCTAGTCGGCCCGTCAAAGTTTACTGGCTGGCGCCCTCGGTTGGAAGTCTCTATAGCATTGAAGAGGTGCTCGCGCTCTTTCCTGTCGCGCGCCTCGGTGGTGAGCCTGAGGGGTGATCCGCCGTTCATCATGTGGGAGGGAACCGCGGATTTGGGCTTGGGGGTGTCGGCGTCCATAATCGCGGGGAATTCGTCGGGACTTTTTTAGTGGGGAAGGGACTTTTCAGACTGAGGAAGCAGCAAACTAGAGATGAGAGGATGACACAATGCCCAGGGAAACATGTTTGGCCTGGCGCATGCTTTCCGCAGGAGAATAGTTCGGAGCCCGGTCAGTATGACTACAAGGGAATAACTTATTCCTGCACCGTCGAATGCGGATTAGCGTTCTAACCTAGCAATGACGCCACACCTCGTCGCGCTCTGACCAGGTGGACACGTGACAAGCGGGCAGCCGACCAGCAGGAGAGCTGCGACACTACCACGACCCTTCGCTACCCGACGCTTCATCATCAACACACGCCGCCCCGACCACGCATGGCATCGACCATACCACCAGCGCTCGGCTCGACATTCACGATTTCTAGCGATGATGCGAACGGGTGACAGACCGCCGTGACGGGGCCCGAGGGCTTTCCTTCGGTCCCCGCAGCTTCACCTGAGCAGAACAGCAAACGGCGCTTCCGCTTCAGCGCCGCCCGCGGGCCCATCTCCCTGCTCGACCCACTGCGCATATCATAGCGTGGCATTACATGATGATGCGATGTGCATCGAGGGAGGATTGGTCATCTACTGGCGATGACAGAGAAGGGCAAAGGGTCACCAAGTTACCACGGCCTTGCTTGGGCATCGTTCTACCGCCCTCGCGCAGTCGCGTACTAATCACGCATCGTGCACTATTCTTAACATATACTGTGGCTACCCTGCGTTGGGCAAAGGCAGTGTCTCCTCTACTTATCGTTACAACTCCCAGTTCCCAGCCCCGGCCAGGGCTACAATCGCCATACGACTGCCGCTCAATTGCGACATGCTCCGGGCGCTGTCGAGAGTATGTCCAGATTCATATGGCTGCTCGTCTTTGGTGACCGTTCCAGGACGGCAAGTGAGCCTGGTTCACATATTGTGGCTCTTCTGTCTGGCGCCGTGCCATACCTTGCATCCAGGTCTGGCAGCTCTAGGCTATCGGGTGTATCGACTGCGCCCCCAACATGGGAAGTACACCATCTTTCCTCCCTTGCGGAGCGCGAGCTTTCGCATGCCGATCGTGGTAACGTGAGAAGCCCAACGTCAAGATGATCGCGGCGAGCTCAACATAACTACAAAAGTATCGCATCACCTTTCTGGATCGGCCCAACCCCCGATAACGGGATATCTCGACTTATTGGTGTTTGAAAATATCGCCGTGCCCGAGTTGCCATGGCCTGATATTGAGGATTACTTCTCCACAGCTTCGGTCGTCAGGGGTTGTCTTTAGTAGGGTGGTGGGGTCTTGCTTCGCATGCGTTATGTAGATGTCGTGAAGCCATATGGCACACCTGGTGGACTGCAACATGATCTCCAAAATCTGAAGATGCGGAAGGGACAAACCGAGATGAAATCTGGGAGCAGGCTGGAGTCTTGGGCGCCAGGGAGGGGTTTCCATGCACACTCGATGAGGGCGACTTGTCACGGGGCTTGGCGTTGTCGATAGCGGCAGGCGAAAGACCGACGAGCGAGAAGGCGCTGCATGCGCAGCGTCTGCGGCCACGACAGCAACATCGAAAGCGCATCAACGGCAGCGCATTGAGGAGTGTGTTACAGTCGCAGCCGATTCTCTTGTTGTTTCTCGCTTTCATTACTACTGCTTCGTAAGGCTGAGAGCAGGGTGCCGGACTTTCTTGTTGTTCGGTTAGGCCGTGGCACTTTGACCCGCGGACCTCTTGATGCTGCAACCTTGCGCCTTCTGATGCCCTTCCTGCCTCTATGGCTGCCCTGCGACGGGCTCAGGATATAGACCAGTGGAGACCAGAGGACTCGTCTAGTAGGGACAGAGAGCGATCTAGGGACCGGTCACGGGAGAGGAACAACGAGGGCAGAACATCGTCACCAGTGCCACGAGCTGCCAGAGATTCTCCCAGACACCGCGCACACGACACCCACACGCATTCATCGGCCAGACACGCACGGGGACGTTCACGCGAAAGAAGTTTGAGCAGAGAGCGCGCGCGTCGGCGCAGTCGCAGCATCTCTGGGGAGGACCGCCATCGAGCTTCGAAGAGGGAAGCCAGCGCAGACAGGGTTGCCCACTCGCATCGGCATCACCACCACCATCGCGACACAACTCCATCGTCGAAACGCCACCACCCGCGTTCTCCATCTCCACGAGGCTCCTCCAAGCGCGTGAAACGGCAGGGCAGTCGCAGCCCAATACGCTCTGCATCGAGGCCACGACGTGCACTTTCGCCGGACCGGCCTGCTGCGAGGGCATACTCCCCACGAGCTCAGCGTTCCGACCGCGATCGACCACCTCGACGAACCACGCCCGACACGTATTTCCCGTCCACCTCGACTCGCCGCCGCTCGCCCTCTGCCGATACACACTACAGGCCGGTGGCTCATCGTGCACGGAAAAGATCAGTTTCACTCGACAGGAGATCTAGGCGTGGAACACCGCCTCGGAGACTGTCGCCTAGGAGAACTGATCGAAGACCTATTTCACCCTTCGACAACCGCGGTGAACGGTCCTACAAGCCCTATACTACTCGCGACAGGGCAAGGAGTCGCAGTCGAGATTCCAGACGTGCTCGATCTCCCTCTCGTCCGCCCCGGAGGCGATCTCCAGGCCCAGTTCGCAGGAATTCGCCGCCCCATACCCACCGAGCCAGACTATCACCGCGCAGAAGTCGTTCGCCCCGCCCGCCCATTCGACGCCGTCCATCCCGCTCGCCCTCTCTTACATCGAGGCCGCGTCAACGCCTGGATAAAGGAACAGACAGGGTCGCCTCACGTCGAGGCTCGCCCGCGCCGGGATCAGGTTACAACTCTGACACATCCAAAAGTCGGGAAGACCACGGCAAGATGAGGGGAGCGTATCACTACCAGGGACGTGGTGGCTTCCAGCAATCACCACCGTACCCTGCCCAAAATCAATATTCCCCCCAAAATCAATCGCCATATCATGGCGGCGGTCGAGGCGGTTGGAATGGTCCACCGTATCCTAATCAAGGGTTAGTTTCCATCCCATCGGCCTTCGGTCATCCACATGCTGACATCATCAGGTCTCCCACACATGGCTATACCCCAAATCAATCTCCTTACCATCAGAACCAATCTCCAGGTTACTACCCAAACCAACCGTACCCACAACCTGGCTTCCAGAACAGCCCCCATCGCGGAGGACATGGCGGCTACCGCGGCAACAACTTCAACGGCCCCGACCGCCGAATGTCAGGTCCTGGCGCAAACGCACCGTTTGGCGGTCCAGGCGGACGAGGGCGTGGCGCGCCTACCCAATTCTCCAACTTGTCATGGACGCCAGCGTCAGGCACTCGAGGCGGCCGCCCAGCCACTGAAGCGCCACGCCCACAGCCCGCTGTCGCGTCGCAAGTACCTGCCGACTCTGCATCTGTGGATGCTGATGACAACCCCTTCCGCCCATCCAAAGATCTGCGTGTAGAAGACGAGGGTTCCAAAGAGGACAAGAGGATGGCACCTTCAAAGGCACCGACAGCACCCAAGTCAGGATTTGGCTTTTCGTTGAAGACCAAGAATCCTGTGCCACCAGCGAGCAAAGCAAAGCCTGGAGTGGAAGAGCCTGAGAAGCCTGCGCCTGCTTCCAAAGAGTCTCTTCTTGACCCCAAAGCAAAGGCGGCAGCGGCAGCGGCAGCGGCACGTGAAGCTTCCCCGCGTCACTCAGAAGCACGAAGCGATCGGGATCGGGACGCGAGGGACAGAGGTTACGACAGTGGCCGCGACCGAGACAACAGGGAACGAGATCGTCGATATGACAACTACTACGATCGAAAACCTGCCTATCGAGACCCTCGCGATAGAGACACTCGAGATCTACGAGACACGCGTGAGCCCTACTATCGCGGCAAAGAGCGAGATTTCCGAGACCCACGAGACAGAGATATGCGAGATCCGAGAGATGCACGAGACCCGCGCGATACCCGTGACCGCGATCCCAGAGATATGCGCGATCCGAGAGATCGTAGAGAACCATACCCACCCCGACGACCTGACGATAGACGATTCGACCCACGGCCTGACACACGACCAGTGCGAAAGTCACCACCCCCTCAGATACCCAAGACTAAGATCGTTATGAGGAAGCGCATGAAACCTCGGCCTACGCTGGTCCCTGAACATGCAGCTTCAGAGTCTGTATATTACCGGAAGCCCGGTAACGAATCGGTGGTTGGATCCGGCACCTACGGAAAGGTCTTCAAGGGAGTCCATGTCTATACGAAGGATATGGTAGCTCTCAAGAAGATTCGTATGGAGGGCGAACGCGATGGCGTAAGAACACCCAGTGCTAGGCAGTGACATAACGCTAACAACTACCAGTTCCCCGTTACGGCCATCCGTGAGGTCAAACTTCTGCAATCTCTTAATCACGCCAACATCGTTAATCTCCGAGAAGTCATGGTTGAGAAGAACGACTGCTATATGGTTTTCGAATACCTTTCCCACGATCTTACCGGTCTTTTGAACCACCCGACCTTCAAGCTCGAACAAGCACACAAGAAGGACCTGGCCAAACAGCTCTTTGAAGGCCTGGATTACCTCCACCGCCGCGGCGTTTTACATCGAGACATTAAGGCTGCGAACATCCTTGTATCCAATACCGGACAATTGAAACTGGCAGATTTCGGTCTTGCACGTTTCTACGCGAAAAGCAGTAAGCTCGACTACACCAACCGGGTCATTACCATCTGGTATCGATCACCGGAGCTGTTGCTGGGAGAAACACAGTATGGGCCAGCAGTCGACATCTGGTCGGCTGCCTGCGTACTGGTCGAGATCTTTACCCGGCACGCTATCTTCCCTGGCGATGGCGGCGAGATCAATCAGCTGGACAAAATTTACAACATACTCGGCACGCCCACTGTGCAGGATTGGCCTGGCATTGTCGACATGCAGTGGTTTGAACTGCTACGGCCAACCGAGCGAAAACAGTCGACTTTTGAGGAGAAGTACAAGGACCGTGTTAGTCCTATGGCTTTTGAGCTTCTCCAGGCAATGTTCCTGTTCGATCCCAATGCGCGACCCACCGCCGCCGACGTGCTCGAGCATCCTTTCTTCACGAGCGAAGCCCCGCCACCAAAACGTGCCGACGCGCTGAAGGAGCTGGAGGGTGACTGGCACGAGTTCGAGAGCAAGGCTCTTCGGAAAGAAAAGGAGAAGCAGGACAAGGAGGCGCGGCGTGTTGCGCGGGAAGAGAAGGATACTGCAAGGAAGGACGAGGGTAAAAGACGGGCCGAGGCAAATGCTGGCGAGGAAAGGGACGCGAAGCGAGCGAAGAGCGGTGATGTTACGGCGTAGAATGCTGGAACTTCTCAACCGAAGCCGCGACGGCGCAGCTAATTAGATGGCATAATATTTGTATGTATAGAGGTATGTTCGTTCTTCGCGCGACTTTTGGAATGCAACTACATGTATATCCACACCACTTCTTGACAACTGAAGAAGTCTGTTTTCATCTGGGAAGTCTACTGACGTCCTACTGTGACATCGAATGGCATTTTCCTAGTACATCGGCACGTACTTTACACCCTGCTCCATGCACTCTCTCTTATACTGCACCAATTCGTCGGCCTTCATGTCGTCATCCTCTATCTCACGGCCATCAGCCAGATCCTCAGTGCTTGCCTCATTCCAGAAATCCATAGCATCTAGTCTCTTCCCACACTTCCAGCCGTATGCCAACCCTCCGTTCGAGATAGCTTGCACTGTCTGTACTTCCTGACTCTGCCAATCCCAAGTGCGCAAGCAACCCAAGATGTGTAATTTCGGTCTTATCTTTGAGAGTAACTTGGCGCCCTTGTGATCGAATACAGCATTCGAAATGTGCAAGTATCGTAGCCTCCTGGCATTTTTCTCGTCTCGAAACGCTTGAAGAAGCCCAGGACTACGAAGAGTGATCCAGCTATTCCCTGCTGGATTGCCATCCTCAGACCATGCGAACGTAATCTTGCGAATGTTCGGGCAGTGGTTGACAACATGGGCTAGACCTTTGTCGGAAACAAAGGACGGGTTCAAAAGTGAAAGCTCTTCGAGTTTGGGGTTGAATCTGGCCAGTGCTGAGACGCCTGAATCAAATAGAGATTTGGCGTTGAAGACAAACATCGTCAACACAGATCCACCCAAGAGTACGGCGAGGTCCTTCATGTGAGATCTGCGACTGGTGTTACTCAAAGGGATTTGATGCAGAGCGGTCTGGCAACTTACTCTGTCGCCTCGAAATTGGGTCCGAAGAACACACATTGCTTTTGGATACTGGGCCGTTTCTCGCACCAATGGTAAGCCCACCACTCCTCGTCCATGAACGCGATTTCTTTCTCGAATGGATACTTTCTCTGCCTGTACTTCACCCAAACATTTTGCGCGAGATTTGGACTGAGTGGAGCTCTTGGGGGTCCTTCGTCATCGGAAGAGTCCTCCTCATCAATGAGCGATGCGACGCCAGCACTGCTTTCGCTGTCGTATGCTTCATCAACATCCGATAAAATTGGTTCATCCTGGACGGGCTGAGGTGCCAATGCGGGGAGCACTGGGGCATTGATCTCGTGGTTCTCATGATTGCCGCTGTCGTGTACTTCTGCAGCCAGGATTTCGGGTACCGGGGCGCCTGCTTCATTCTCCTCTGGTTGCCTGTCTTCACCGCTTACTCTTCCTGCTTCCGCTTCGTAGGCATAGCCTTCTATCGGCGCTTCAATTCTAGGTTGTTTGTAGGGCTGATGAGAATCAAATGATTCGGGAAACGAATTCTTCCGCTTCAAGGTTGGTTGGCCTGGAAGATGATGTTGTACTTGGTACGGAACCTGCATATGAGTGAGCACGCGCCTTTAAAATGGCATATGAGTCTAACGTACCGCTGAGTAGTAGGATTCTGGGATGTGATAAGGGACTGGCACAGGATACGGAACCGGGACATATTGCGGGACCGCGACTTGCTGGCTAGGGAGCAGCGTCCATATTGGAGGTAGGGGTAGGGCTGGTAGGACCCGCAGAGGCTGTGGAATGTATGGGCTCTCAGGGCCAACGCGCATCTGCGGATGCAAGGTGTGCGGTGGTGGATCCATTTTCGATTTGCGAGAGTTGAATTTTAGGAAATGAGCGAGAGCAGAAGTGCGCACTGCTAGCGTATATATTCGACTCTTGTCTCAAAAATGCTGCCGCAACCTTGTGGTCTTCCTGAGGTTTACGATGTGTTCCAGATTTCGATGAGTGACAATGCGTTGCGACCGGGGTCAGCTTTGACGGCTGCAGAGCCACCACTTGCCCTCTGCCTCAAGATACCTAGGTATGAACTGAGTTCACGCTACGTCTAATCGTCCCTTGTAGTTGCAATAACGATTTCAGTTATCAGTGTAAACGATCCATAGATCATGGAACAATTGTTGTGGCGTCATAAGCTCTACTTGGGCATGTCCAGCGATTTTGGTGTATCTAGATAGCGACCAGGCTGAAACACGTCGCGGACGATCCGACTCGTGCATGCTGGCGCAGCACGCCCAGCATGAAACCCCGGGAACTCAATCTCTTTTATCACGCAAATCATGAACGCAACAGATGTTAGTTGCAGTATTTGTCGCGACAACACCTCTTAGGTTTGTGACATACAATGTGTGTGGCTTCGCCGAATACAACAACAGCATACAATGTACACCTAGCGCTATATATGGATCTCTACGCAATCCCAGGCCGGCTTCCTTGGATCGCCAACGTCGTTCCTATGGTATGACCTAAGGCCACTTATCCAAGAATAATAGTACGGCTTCCTCTTGAAGAACTGATGAGTGTTTCGCTGATTCAACTTGTGTTCAGCTTCCCATGCTGGGCTGACCCGATGTTCATTCATCGGTGATCTTTCAATGTGAAATCTTGGATTCGTGAGACTGAGTGCAAATGCAATAGCAGGCGGATAGCTAGGGCTTTCGTCCAACCGTGAGAGCAAAGGCATAAATGAATGGGGCCAACGGTTTTCCTGGTTCAAAAGCTTGCGTTCGAGAATCCTGACTCGACAGACGAGTGGATTTGGACGTTCAGACTCGCGCGCCATGCGGATGCGACGGAGGTTGGAGGATCGCTTCAACAAGTGAAGTATCGAAGTGTTGGTGAGCAACCGTGCATCGTAAAGGACTATGTCCTCGAGTGCACGAAATCCGCGAGTGATGGCGAGAATGCCGCGTTCGGTGAGCATGCTGGTATTATCACAGCGTATCACGAAGATGCTGCTGATCATCTTGTCGTCCACGGAAGCTGTCGCCGCGATATATCGGATGACTTCACTAAATTTGAAAAGGCAATTAGTACTGCTTCACTCACGAGGACTTGGGCATTTGAATACATACTCGGTAACAGGAAAGTCAGGTCCAAAGTGCAATAGTTCAATGCCTTGACCACATCCAGTCTCACACCATGAATCTTTCCAGTCTGCTTCACTCCAAAAATGTAGAAGCAGCACCCGCGGCAGTCGCCTTTTATATTTCCTCCTCTTTGACTTACACCTGTGTGCGATTCCTTCTCTTGGTTGCTATCTACTTTATCCTATGGTACTGCGATAACGCAGAGCGAAACGAGCTACTTACGACTTCCGCAACATTAACGACCTTAACGAAAAGATACTCTTACGAATAAGAGAAATCGCAAGTATAATACACTCCAAAAATGTAACGTTCTCAAATCTTGATATCCCCGGTGGTGTGACACTTCATTCCCGCTTCCGCTATCGTAGCCTTCATCTCCTCCCGAGATAGAAGCTACATTTTCGCTAGCACTGGGTGCATCGTCAAATGCCGCGGTTGTTGTCTCGGTTCGGCCCTCATGAGCTTCATGGGAATACCTTCTAGATTCTTGATCGACAATCGCTGCTGCATGTGGCGCGTTGTTTACAGGCAGGGGCGCAAAGCCCGGGTAAACCACAGGAGCTGCAGTCCTGTTAATCTTGTGCAGAGCTGGATCGGACAGTACTGGACCCGCCCTATTTCGTTTCAGCACCGGATTTTCTTCCAAGAACATAGCATCCTCGTTGGAACCGACCCCATAGACTTCTTCGCTGCGTACTCGTTCGGCAGTCGCTGCATACTCATCGATTCTGGGCAACTTTGGTCCGGTAGCACCTGGGTACTCTGCGTCTTCGCATTTCCGTTTTAATGTGTTCGTATCTGCTGCATGGCCATGGTGCTGTGCTGGTTCTTGCAGCGCTTGAGGTTGCTTGGGAACATCGCGAGCTAGTGGGTGTGGATAGCAGACTCCGGAGTTCCAGTTGTACACTCCAAATCCAGGAATGTTTAGGGAGCAAGCAATATAGTAACCGTTGGGAGCGTGAAAAGTGTCCGGGGTACTACAAGGGTGTGGCTCGCCATTGCAGCACAAGGCATGGGCGGTTTGTAGTTCACCACAGACGGGATGAAGCGTGTATTGGGCCACAAGACAATCTCGAGGACTCGAAAGATGAAGAGGGGGATGAATCAAGTGTTCTTCCTCAGGAAGGCGTGGTATAGACCTTTGCCAGTGGAGCTGCAGGTGAGAGTTTTGGGTGCTCATATCGCGTTGTGGGTAGCGGGAGAAAAGATGATGGAACGAGGTATGAGAGCGTGATTATAGATGATTTAAACTCCCTTGGTGTAGAGGTCGCTTGATCTTTCAGCCGCTCCCTGAGTTCGACAAGTGTCTCAAAAGCAAACCTTGGAATGCGTCTGGCCTTCGAGATTTCACGGTTCATAGATTCTCTCGAACAGCTCTCGGCAAGCTTTGTGCCCCTGGTGGCGAAAAGACCCACGGTTTGCGCGTCGTGCGTGGGGCATGTCTAGAACAGAACTTTCAATCATCATAACAGAGCAAAGGCGTATTGGGTGGATGAACATCGCGATAGCTGGTGTCTTCTCAACACTGAAAGCGAGATATCGCTGTGATTTTGTCCTGAACCTCAAGTGTCGCAAGGCCGGGTTGATGAGACGAGACCTCGGAAGACAGCCTGCATGAAGGCTGTCACGCTAACAGAAAAAGCGACTAGCCCAAATCCCCCCACACCTCCCACAGCACCAACCTCGTATCGTGATAGTAATTTCATAGACCACTCAATCATGTCGTCCATCAAGGTTCCGGGACTGCTCGCCGTGAGAAGTCTGGGATGGCGTAGCGTCAATGTCAGCTGCAATGGTCGACGTTCGGCTGAATGCGGCGTAGTGCGGAAGCTCCTTTCCCGTATTTAGCCTTTCCTAGCGGACCCAAGCCCGGAAAATGCCAGACTATCCATGGAACTAGAAGGTTTTTGCTTCTGTCCACGCGTTATCATGATCCTTCGAGACTGCTAAAAAGATTCTCCCGTCGCACACATACCCACCGCTTGTACCCTGCCCCGGTGTGGCTGATTCACATCACACTCGTTTCCATTACCTCTTTGGGCGCGTGGGCAGCTCGATTGGGGAGACGCAACAACGATGGTATCGTGGCGGCCGGAGACGAGATTGGAATGGTTTTTCTTTGGCACTACGACAGTTCAGGCGATTACAAATATTACGATACAGACGTTCGTATTTCCCCGCATAACTCACTCGCTAGATGAACTGTCTAACTAGGCCTAGAGTCATTCTTGTCACATACTTGAATTGGGTAAACTCGGTTGCATACCAGGTTCCGATATCTTATGTCATCCCTCTGACCTTGTGTGTCAATTCATTGGGATGTCTCTTCCAGATCATCTTGACACTTGACGCATACCGGATCAAGAACCACATCCAGGTGTTCGTTCAATGCGCCGCCAACATATGCCTTTCGATCTCGACGGTTCTTCAATATGGCGAGACTAGACATGCAGTATCTAGGATTCTCGTTAATCACGACATGTACGGCACTCCATTCGCAGATGTTGATTGGCCTTTCTGGAAGAAGATCTCACCTGGCTTGATGGTCTGTACCGTGGTCACATGTGTCAGCAGTGCCATTATGTGCCTGTTAGCGAGGGGCCTATACCGTGAGTTCTCTTGGGCTTTATACCAGCATGTCAGCCCTGACAAAAAGATACAAACAAAATACGCTGTCTACCAGGTAAGACTTGCGTCATCTTCTTTGCTTGACCATACTCACAGAACCACAGATTTACCTCGTGCTTCTCAAGTTTACACCCTACTTCGTTTTCGCGTTCATAATCTTCTACGATTTCATCGACGTCCATTTCCAGGAGCCCGAGTTCTCATTGACGATCTCAATCATCCCGGCTACTCTTGTACATGTGGCTATCGCAGTATATTTTGTCCGGCATGAGCGTCGCATTGGAATGGCGTTTGTTTTGGTAGGTCACTCAACCTCGAAAGGACTGGCACGCGCTAACATCGCATCTCACAGCTTCTACATGCCGCAAATATCGCATACCTGATCAGCAGACTCCTCGTTCTCTACGGGCACTCGTTACTTGCTGATACTCTATTGAAGGATGAGATGGTTTTCTACCTCTGCGTTGGGGTGGTCTTTTCGACGAGTGCTCTCCTGGCCGGCTGCGTTTGCTTCTACAACTTCAAAAAGGGACTAAGGCCAATTCTTTTAGGCCAGGTGCAACGCAAACCGCGGGCACATGAGCTTGAGGACGATTATTATGTACAGCGTTTGAACTACAACGTGGTGCCGTTGGCGGACCGAGACTCACAAAGATTCGCGTTGGATTGATAAGTATGATAATCTATAGTATCTAATACAATGACATTTTTGCGTATCTAGCCGCGCACTAAGCCCTGCTTCTCGGTATAATCTCCTCTCGTGTCTGATGTCCACGTATAATTTTCAAATTTGCCCGTATTTCTTCGCAAGCTTTCACGCTCTTGTCTTCCACCAGCTGATCTACGAGCACCAAATTACGAAGACGTTGGGCCTTATCTTCATTTGCAATCAATATCGCGTCGAGGTTACGCAAAGTCACACCACCATATCGTCTCGTGAGTAGATCCCCACATATTTCAATGTATTCAATGGCCGGACAGAACTCGATAAGACTCATGATGGATTGGTCACCAATACTTGGGGCCAAGTCGATTTGCACCTGTGTTAACTGCGCCATATTCGCGGCGAGGTTGGTAATAGACTGGTCGTCTAGCAGGGCACCGTTGCCCACGCGGATCGCGAGAATAGATGAACTAAATGCTGCTGGTGACCAAGCTAGCAGATTGATGTCGGCACTGTTTAGGTTTAGTATGCTAATAATAAACTCAATGACAGACGAAGACAACTTACACTGTGACAGCAAAGCTTGGTTCGAAAATGACCATGCGTATGCCTGTGCGACGCTGTGCCCTATGCCATCGTCGCTCCCAATCCTGAGGACTGCTAAATCTGAGTGTGACAGAACCCGGAAACTCGAGGGGTGGAATGGGTGTGCGTGGATAATACGTTTTGACAACATTAGAGCGTTCGATGTCGTTCCCCAAGCGTGCGGCATCTTGTGCATGTATTCTACTTTCGCTTTTGACCCCGTTGCAAAGCTCATCTTTGGAATCCGCCTCACTGCGGTCGCTCGGTTGTCTTTCGTCTTGGATATGAGTTCCACTCGCGATGCGCATGTCATTATCCTCATCGGCAGATATCGATGCCGATTTTCTTGGTAAACTTCTCGCTACACTAGGGCGGCTTTCTTGTTTTATCGTTGCTCCTGTGTTCCGCTCCACAGGGGCCCAATATCTGGATTCTGTATTGAGGATCTCTTGGTCTGCAATCTGTGCAATCCTTTCGGCTTTGATTGAGGGACGCGCCTCTTCCTCGTTTTGATATCTTTCATCGTCGTCCTCCTCCCCTTCCCCGCCGGTCTCTTCTGGGGAGCAATCTTCTTCATTCGAATGCTCTTCTCCGGTCTCTTCTTCGAGCTCATCTGCTTCTGATTCTTCCTCCTCTAAGATATCTTCCTCTTCCTCGAGTTCATCTGCTTCTGAGTCTCCCTCTTCATAACTACCTAGACGTCTAGTATCAAGATCCTCCAGACCGTCATCGCCAGAGCCCTCTGCCTCAGAACAGCTCTCTTCTGGTCCAGTTTCTTCTGACCCAGTCTCTTCTGATCCAGTCTCGTCTGATCTAGTCTCTTCTGTATCACTGTGCGCAGAATTGACTAGAAGTCTAGCGATATCTCGCTCTCGTCGAAATTGATCTAGTGGTGTGCCATTTTCCTCCAGCTCCCGTTCCAATTCATGAATTTTCTGTCGAAGCCGTTGAAGCATTTCATTTTGAAGTTGTATCGCAAGCTGTTTCAAGTCATCCAGCCTCGCCTGCTCTCTGCGCACCAATGCTACCCAGTCTATGCCTACGACATGCCCTCTGCGCCACTTAGTTGCGATATGTTCCGCGCCTGGTATATTGACACCAGCGTTGGACAGCGCCTCAGCTACAGCAGGAGTAAGCGCAATGCTTTGCCGAATCTCTAGTCCGTGTCTTTTTTCGGTGACGCTTCTCATTCGAGCTTCTTCGATGGGTTGATTGTCTAGCCGCAATTCATTCAGCAACGGCCATTCGCGCTGATTTTCCCGCATGTTCATAAAATCAACGAAATAGCCTTTGATACACCCATTTGTGCTAGGCAAGCCGTGAATTCCAACAAACACGACAGATCGACAGTGTTTTAGAATGGCGATAAGTGCCTTGTCTGTCAAATTTGGTGCATATAAGTTGATATCGAGTAGGAGGTGATTCCGTGCAACAATCGCGCGCACGTCGCCGTCTGAGAGATTGCCTTCCCTGTCGCTCAACCAAAGGCGTTTCAGAAAGCCGGTATGAAGCTTTAGCGAATTCTTCATAGAGCTAATGAAGCTGTGAGTCATGGCTTTCAGGCAATGGACTTCTTCGTCGTCTGAACATACCGTGATATCAGAATGTCGCACGTCAGAAAAACATCATACACTCGGCCTCGCAGCAGTTTCTCTCTCTCTTTTATCCAATGCCATTTATCTGCACTATCACATGCTACGCGCTGGTTCTCAGGTAGTAGTAGCCAATATTTGCGAGTTGCTTCTAACGACATTGTTCGGTGTTGGTAAGTGCGTGGCTTCGAAGGTGTGATGTGGGGGCAGGTCAGACAGTGGGGCCCGGTTGTGTTGCTTGTCGCGCGCGGGGTTGGAGTCAACTTAGTATCGATAGCAGTTCACTAACATGTAAACCGCGCCGTTTCTTCATAGGGGGTTGGTGTTGAGCGACTGGTGACTGTGGACATGTTGAGGTTCCTCGGCCTGCAGGAGCGAACCTTCCCGAAACAGCCGGACCCGTTGGGCGGGGGGTACCGGTAAACTAGTATGGGCCTCGAGGATGCCTGGCCGCAACTGAAACCAAAAAGCGTCTGCACACATCGTGCTCTCGGAACACGAGAGAGAGACAATGTCATTAGCGTTCAATGTGGAATAAGAGAAGTCTGCTCGCTCCCGAGGTCGTACAGAGTTGATGATAGAGCCTGCTGGATAAGTCCAGGCCACAAAACGATGATGTCATACTAGCGCTTCCAGGGCGCCATCACCCAATTTGGTCTCAATTGTCGGCACGATTGCGCGCTCTCGATATTGAAGTGAAAGCCACCTGAAACACTCTGAATATATCTCTTCATTGAAATCGGCTTTGGTCATACACTATCGTCTCTCTTGATTACAGTCCTCATCATAGCATCCTCCTCCTCATCCAAGGCATCTCCTCCATGGGTTTCGGCTGCCTCATAGTTCACCCCGAAGCCATCCTCGTCCAAAGGTTCTTCTTTGATGACGTTCTTAGTCAAGGCGCTTCTTTCAGAACTGCTGCCTGCGTTGGCGTTCCCAGAGGTGTTTTCCATACTTGATGACGCTTCATTGACGTTTGTGCTACTCGTCATGTCGGCCTGCTTTGCATCTTCTTCGTGACGGAGATCGGAAACTTCGCGTCTTGCAACCTTTCGAGCTGGTCGTGGTGATGATGGAGAGGTCGGATCCAGAGTCCGCTTTCTACGACTCTCTGGTTCTTCAGGGATCTTTTCTGCCTCCTCCTCCGCCTCCTCTGCCTCAAGCTCAGCCTTGCACCGTCGGATAGTATTCAACCGAGCCTGTTCCAAGCGCACCAAGCCCACCATGTCTGGGCCTACAATCTTGCCTTCTCTCCAGAAAGATGCAGCAGGTATGGCTCTTAATACGTCAGCATCCTCCTCGGCAAACATTTCTGCTAGTTGCTTGTTGTGAGGTGAGATACCGGCATCCGTGAGCGATTTTACTACTTCAGGGCTGGGTGTCTGCATCTGATCGATTCGTATGTTCCGTCGCTTTTTGAGCATGCTTCTAATGTGCGCCTTGTCGAGTGGCTGATTGGAAAAGGTAAAATGGTCCAATTTCTTCCATTTGTGCAAATTCTCCTGCTTGTTCATGTAGGATGCAAAATGGCCTTTGATCCGTCCATCTCCGCCAGCACGGTCACTACCGATTGAAATGGATACGATCTCTGGACAATATCCAAGGATATGATGGACTGAATTGTCAGTTAGATTTTTGTTTATTAGAAAAATCTCGCGTAGCCCATTGTTACGTGATACCAAATCAAGGATATCATTGTCTGATATATTGGCTGCACTATTGGCGATCTGAAGACTTTGTAACCATCCTGTATGAAGTTTTAACGACGTCATGATGTCACTGATCAAGATGTGAGCGACAGTGTTCGGAGGTCATACATACTACCCGGTCGTTCCAACTTACCTAGAGATGAGCACTCCGTCTAGATTAACACGACGGACTCGGCCTTGCAGTTTGGCTTTCTCTTTGTCCCAATCGGACTCCTTTTCGCAACAAATGGACTCGTTCTCGGAATAGGGTGACAGGCGTGGAACCTCTTCCGTCAGCGACATGATCGGATTTTGATATCTTCGGCGTGCGTGATTGCAAAAGTGCAGTTGAGCAAACAGATGGCAACAAGTCGGGTCGAGCCCCCATGTATCGTGGAATGGACGCTCCCGCAGTTGAACGTGTGCTACGATTAACACCTGCCTCACCGTCCTGAATCGTATATCGGAGCGAACTGAACGCGTTCCTTTATCGAATGTTGGGCAGCTTGGGTTCCAAAGACTTGATGAGCATGATAGCTTTGAGAGGTGCGCCGGGTTTTGCGGCTCGCGGAAAAGGGCGGAACTGAAACAGCCCAAGACTCGCTAGTTGCGGGGCCGTCCACAGATCTCAAGGCCGAACTCAAGCCGAACGCCACCGACGCGATGATCAATGTCCATACTGCTTCTTCGTCACGCGTGTCGAACACGATTTAGATCAGGCTGAGCCTTCCAAAGTTGTCTGGATTCAAAGTCTTCGTGGTAGCACGCCCATCATTCATCTTCGCGTACCCCAGGAGGGCTGACCTGTGATCAGCCCAGCCCAAATGATCGTTGGGATCAGACTTGGCCCAACAACACCTGGGCACCTGGGCACCATGCCAACTTACATGTGTCAGCGTCCTGCCGTAACAACATCGTTAATTTATATGAACGGCGTAATCTGTTCTATAGTCCCATCTATCTGGTGCCGTATGTCTTCAATAGATTTGGCCTTCACAATGGTATCAGATGTTTCGTTGTTTACTAGACGCAAGGCAACGAAACAACGGCGATAGGACGACTGCGAACACACAAAATAAGTCGAGTTTCATCAAGCTACAACTATGTAAGAGCGAACCAATTACTGTCTGAGTTCGCAAAT